TTACCACCCCGACGTCATCCCCCGGCGCCCATAACAGCCGGGAGCGGCCCGGCAAGAAGGGGGAGAGTGCAGCTGCGGGCGCCCTGGCGTCCAGGAGCACCAAACCCCCATCCCTCGGGGCAACCCGGAGGGAAGGACTCGGCAGCTGGCGGCTCGCCCTGGGACGGGCTCGACGACTCCGACGGGGTGAGTGATACTGAACTTGTTCCGCCAGCGGGACAAGTCAGCGGGGAGTGGAAGGGGGCCCGGACCCGGGGGGTGAGGGAGGGCCCGGGTCCCCCAGTCCCCTTACCCCCTCATTGCTAGCTACAAGCAATTCCCCTCAAACCTTAAACCCATGTGGCCCGGACCGCAGGAGGACATTGGTCCAAGGTCAGGCCCTGCGACGACACTGTGACCCCCTTCCTCAAGTCAGAGGAGGAGGAGGGGTCCGACGGAGGGGCCGCCGACCCCCCTCAGCCGTTAGGGGCAGAGGGGCGATCGCCCCCTCACCCGAACGCCAACCCTAGGATCCTGAGTAGGGGCCGGGGAGGCAAGCCCAGACGGTGGGTTCGCTGGGCCCCGCCCCTCCCCAGACTTGCTCGGGAGCTGAAGGGGGAGGGAGCGAGGAGCTCGCACCCGCAAAAATCCGTCACACTGGTGGAGAATGTGGGCATAAACATTGTTTCCCACAGACGAGCAAGACCGGGAAAACCGGGCGATTTCCCCAGAGTACAGTACGGAGCTGGAAGGAACAATGGAACCCCGACAATTCCTAGAATGGTTCGAGGGGAACCAACGTCAACAGAATCAGATCCAGCAAGAGCGCCAGGCCCAGCAGGACCAGTGGCGGCAGACAGCAGAAAAGAGATGGGGAACTGCCATAGGAGGACCAGGAGGAGCCGGGGAAGGACCCAACCTCCTCCTACGCCTTAGCAAGTTGGGGCCCCAAGATGACCCCGAAGCATTCCTGACCACCTTCGAGAGGGTGGCGTCGGCAGCACACTGGCCACCGGAGCAGTGGGCCACCTTGTTGGCCCCCTATTTGAGCGGACCCGCCCAACTGGCTTATCGGAGCCTAGCAATTCCAGACGCCCTGAACTATGCCAAAGTGCGCGAAGCCATATTGGACCAAATAGGGCACTCCCCCGAGACCTGTCGACAGAAGTTCCGGCAAGAAGGGTACAAGACCGGGGACAGACCAAGAGCGGTGGCCCAGCGGTTGCGGGAGTGGGCAAATCGATGGCTAGAACCGGAACAAAAGACCGGGGTTCAAGTCACGGAAAGGATAGTCCTAGAACAGTTCCTACACATACTGCCCCGGGACGGGCAGCGATGGGTCCGAAGGAATCAACCCTCGACCCTCCACGAGGTGGTGGCCCTGATGGAGGCACACCTGCTGGCCGAGCAAGAAGAGAGCGGGGGCCGGCGAGAGGTACTACCAGGCCCGAAGGCTGGAGGGCCCCGGCCGTTGGGGAAACCCGAAGGGCGGGAACACCCCCCCGGGGAACGACGAGGACGCCAGAAGGTCCCTCGTTTAGCCCCGGTCTGGCCGCCCCAGCGGCCGGAGAGAACCGAAGAGGGAGAGCCACCGGAGCGGACCCTGAGGGAAGCACGACCAGGACCCCGGGGGCCCTGCTTCCAGTGCGGGAAGGAGGGCCATTTTAAACGGGACTGCACCCTGAACCAGAGGGAACCAGCCGGGACCGCGGGGAAGATGACAGGTACCGGGGACCGCGTCCTCCGGGAGATGTTGGTGGAAGGGCGGCCAGTTACGGCCCTGGTCGACTCCGGGTTATCCGTGACTCTCATCAGGGCTGACCTCGTCCCCCAGAGTCAATCGGAAGGAGAACCCATCCGGATGCGTTGCGTCCATGGGGACGTCCGCGCCTACCCCACCGCCCAAGTGCACCTGACCGGTGGTGGCCAGGACTTACTATGGAAAGTGGGGAAGGCCAGGGACCTGCCCTACCCCCTCCTTATAGGACGAGACTGGCCCGGATTCGGGGCCCTGCTGCAGAGCCGGACCCCACTAATGCCCCAGGGACAAGCAGTGGAGTACCGGGGCCAGGGGCAGGACAGGGAGCCCCGCGGAGGAGCAATCTGCCTGAAGGTAGGAATGGAGCCAGACTTCCTAATGGAGCAGAGGATGGATCCCTCCCTGCAAAAAGCATGGGACCAAGCGACCGCGACCGGAGGGACGGAGCAAGGCCCAGACCGACCCGCCCAAGGCCCACAATTCCAGGTATGGGAAGATCGACTTTACCGGGTCACAACGGAAAAAGGGGGGGAGGAGCGGAGGCAGCTGGTGGTCCCCACCCATTTTCGCCGGGAGGTATTGGAGCTGGGGCACGCTAACCCCTGGACGGGCCACCTGGGACACGAGAAAACATTGGACCTGGTCCTGCAATGGTTCTCTTGGCCAGGGGTCTTTCGGGCCGTGCAGGACTTCTGCGCATCCTGCCCTGAGTGCCAGAAAACCGGCCCGGCCAGAGTGCCGAAGGCCCCCTTGGTACTCCTCCCGGTGGTGGCTGTCCCGTTCGATCGGACCCTTAGAACCGTCGGGGAGGGGACACCGCTTCATTATGGTGGTGATAGACTACGCCACCCGCTACCCGGAGGCAGTACCCCTCCGGAATACCAAGGCCCCTACCCTGGCCCAGGAACTCCTGCGAATCTTCTCGCGAGTCGGGCTTCCCCAGGCCATCCTCACCGACCAGGGCCCGAACGTGACATCGCGGGTCATTAAAGAGCTCTGTAGGATGCTGAAGATCAAACGGCTACAGACGTCGGTTTACCACCCCCAAACCAATGGCCTGGTGGAACGATTTAACCAAACACTTAAGGGCATGCTGCACCGGTTTGCAAAGGAAGATCCCCGGGGGTGGGACCTAATGCTCCCCAGCCTCCTATTTGCAGTACGGGAAGTCCCCCAGTCCTATTCTCACCATTTGAGCTGCTGTACGGACGGCGACCCCGAGGGATCCTGGACCTCCTGAGGGAAGGCTGGGAACAGACGCCGACCACCGGACGGGGAACGGTCCAGTATATCACCCAGCTACGGGAGAAGCTAAGCCGGCTGGGTGAGTACGCCCGGCTGAATGTGGAAGAGAGCCAGAGGCGCCAAACAAGGTACTATGACGCCCACGCCCGCCAGCGGAACTTCCAGCCGGGGGATCGGGTTATGCTACTCCTCCCCACAACCCAATCCAAACTGCTAGCACAGTGGCAGGGACCTTTTGAGATAGTAAGAAGGGTGGGGGAGGTCGACTACGAGGTAAAGCTATCAGGAAGCAGGCAAGGGACACAGCTCTTCCACATCAACTTGCTAAAGAAATGGGTACCCTGCGAGGCCCTGTTGATAGCACCGGCCTCCCGGGGAGAGGAGGGCCCCGAGTAGAGGAAGAAGCGGAGCAGCCAGAACCCCGGTGGGGCCCCGAACTGACATACCCGCAACAAGAGCAGTTAAAAGAGGTCCTCCAGCAGCACCGGGAGACCCTCACAACGAGACCGGGCCATACGACCATGGGTCTACACCGGATCATCACCGAGGAGGGCCAAAAGGTGCGCGAGCCCCTCCGACCCCTCCCCCGAAAGGCGTGGGACACGGTTAAGCGGGAGTTGCAGCTAATGCAAAGCTGGGGGGTGATAGAGGAATCCGCCAGCGAGTGGCGCAGCCCGATCGTCCTGGTCCCTAAGCCCGACAGGTCAACTCGGTTTTGCATAGATTTCAGGAAAGTAAATGCCGTATCCCGGTTCGATGCCTACCCAATGCCGAGAGTGGACGAGCTACTGGAGCGACTGGGACAGGCCGTATACATAACAACATTGGATCCGTCTAAGGGGTACTGGCAAATCCCTCTCGACCCCCCGGCCCGGGAGAAGACAGCCTTCTCAACACCCTTTGGGCTGTTCCAATTTCGGACCATGCCTTTTGGACTCCATGGGGAGGCCGCGACCTTCCAGCGGACGATGGACCGAGTCCTGGCGCCCCACCAGTCGTACGCCGCCGCCTACATAGATGACATTGTCATCTACAGCCGGACGTGGAGGGATCATCTAAGCCACATTGAAGCGGTACTGACAACACTGGGTAAGGCGGGCCTTACGGCCAACCCAAAAAAATGTCACTTTGCACAACGGGAAGTCTCCTACCTGGGCTACATGGTGGGGCGGGGAAAGCTGAAGCCAATCTACAGCAAAATACAAGCCCTGAAAGATTACCCGACCCCGACAACAAAAAAACAGGTCCGCCAGTTCCTGGGGCTGGCGGGTTACTACAGGAGATTCGTACCACAGTTCGCCTCTCTAGCTGCCCCCTTGACCGAACTGATAAAGAATGCGGAACCAACCAGGGTTCAGTGGAATCCACAGGCCGAACGCACTTTCCAAACGTTAAAGGAAAGCCTGGCCTCAGCCCCGGTACTGAGGCAGCCAGACTTTGATAAACCTTTCATCCTCTATACAGATGCCTCGGAGGTGGGACTCGGAGCGGTGCTAGCTCAAGAGGAACAGGGCGGGGATCAGCCGGTCTTATACCTAAGCCGAAAACTGTTACCAGCCGAACGGGCCTACGCCACGATCGAGAAAGAAGCACTTGCGGTGAAATGGGCAGTCGACACACTACGGTATTACTTATGGGGGAATAAATTTAAGTTGGTGACTGATCACGCACCCTTAGTTTGGTTAAATTCAATGAAAGAAACAAATGCGCGTATAATGCGGTGGTACTTGGCTTTACAGCCGTACTGCTTTGACGTGGTGCACTTCAACGTGGTGCACAGGCCCGGAATTACCCACCAAAACGCGGACTTTTTTTCCCGGATACGGGAACAACCAAACCCGGGAACTCGCC